CTTGAAAGAAGTTTTCATGGCTTTGTCCTTAAATTAATTCGCAGTTATTATTTTTGACCTTTTTGATCTCCTGCTTTGTCAGATACACATAATTACTTATTCAGTTCGATGAATTGTTGGATGACATTGCAGCGGCGAAATACAACGAAAATTTACTTGTGGAAGCTTTGAATGAAGAAGGCCGTTCAAATTACTACGTAACTTTCTTTAGGTTTGCAATTTTTTTCCGGTTGGCTATAAATATCAAAAATTGATCGCGTTTTGAATGCTATTCTTTGGAAAGAACCCTACAACGTCCTCAGCACACTCCTATTTTATCTTAATCAATAAAATTAGCAACAGAACCTTAAATGATATTTAAACGAAATATAATTAGGTTATATAGGTCGGGAATTGAAATTTGTGATATTTCAGAAAGCTGCGAAATAATTTTTTCTAGGAATTATAAAAATATTCTCTATTTCAGGTTAATCACATCTGGTTACTTACGGGAGAATGCTGCTGATTACGAAGGTTTTATTGATGGTGGCCGTACGATGGAGCAGTTTTGTCAATCCGAAATAGAACCGATGTTCAAAGACTGTGATCATTTAGCAATTATTGCTTTAACTAAAGCTATAGGTATTTATCTATTAAACTTATTACATTTAAGGAATAAATTTTTCTCTTTATTTGCGCTAAACATCTTTTCGTCATAAATTTTAGTCAGAGAATTCATGTTTTGGTCTATGCGCTTATAAAATGAGATCTGCTGTTTTAACTGCTTAGGCGTTAACATTTTGAAAGCCGCTTTAACCATATATTAGATTTAAAATGTGGGAATCAATTAGTATATTTTTGAAAAGAAAATATCAGATGATATGGGTTTAGTAGAACTGTAAACACAAAATGAATGAATTACAGGAGTATCAATTCGTATCGAATATATGGATCGAACGGCAGCACTACATCATGGCTGGTTTTATGATTTTATTGTGGATAAGAAGTTACCAAGGCATTTTTTTCTCTATCGCCCTGGTCATTATGATATTATTTACAAGACTTAACAGCTTGTTTTGGTTGTTTTGAGCAGTTTTCTTCCAATTTCAATTTGTTGCATTTATTTGTTTAAAAATTCGTTAAAAATTGTCTATGTTATGACATATAAGGTTTATAAGATGAGGAACGATAAATTAATGGTAGTTAGCAGTCCCTCTTTCAGGAAATCTTACCATCATAATCGTCGCATTGAAATTGTTGCATAGAATCATTGATTAGTAGTGATAATCGTAGCAGTAGTCTTCTGATTGAAAAAAAAGGGACAAAAAAATGCGGAGATTTACTTCGAAAACTATTTCTAACAAAAATGGTTAAAATGAAGGATTGCCATGGAGAATAATTAGATCAGATACATCCCAAAATACCCATTACCCATTTTTATTCTGCTCGAATTTTTTGACGGTTTGAATTGTAAGCCCATTTCACGACAAATTTGTTTTATGTACTTCAGGAATCCAAGATTATTCATTATTGCTTTTTGGAAAGTTCGAATGATGTTAATTATAATTATATGGTCTTTCAGTTATCGACAGTTTAACTGCTGTTTATTGAACGTAAATTTTTAATGGTATAAACAGTTTCATGAATTCATTGCGCAAATGCATTCAATGGTCTAACGCTATAAAATGTACTGATCATAATTATTTGTAATGTGACGAAAGATCATTTAGGAATAGCGTAAAACTCGTAAGAAATGAGAATCATTTCTTATATCTACGAATTTAATAAATATCAAATTTTTATTCGATTATATGAAGTCCATGTTTTAATGATTCAATATTTTTTTACATTTGATCACCTCATTTTAAAAAGGGACTGCAGAACGTTTCAAATTGTAATCGTAAGTTTATAGAAAAATAGATTTGAATAAAATTTATTTAAACAGATTTATGGAAGTCTTGGGTGTAGACGGGATGTACGTTTTGAACTGATTCAGATATGGCAGAAATATGGTCGATTTGTTTTGAGTTAGTCATTTTATGACTATATGTATTACCAATATTGATTGTTGTCGGTAGAGTGGTACTTTCTGGCGGTATTGCCCGTACACAACAACTGGAAAGCAATGTTTTTTTTTACTTTTTCTTTTTAATTTCTTAAAAATTTATTATGAACGAATAAGAGTTTAGATATAATGAGGTCTAAGAGTTAGGACATTGTCATAAATGAGACATTCGGAAATTAGCTAACCAATTAATTAGACCGTGGCGCATCATTTCGATGTCATCCCAGCCAATTCGTTGTTTCTGCACTATTGATATCTGTAAATAAAAGACAACGGAATTTTGGGTCGTTATTATATCATTTTTTTTTACTTGTTCATTTATAAAGGTATACGTAGAATATGCTGCTATTGATTTTTGTGAGATAATGAGAGCCAATAAGTAAGTAAATATAAACGTTATAAAATACATCAATTTGTTTTATTCGGTAGATTAACTTTGTTTTTTTTTTGAAAAATTTTCCAAAATTTCCTTACATCCTTGCATCAATGAGTCTTTTTGTTCTTATGTAAATTGTTAGTATTGAAAATATATGTATTAATGGTAAAGATCACTTACACTGTTAACATTATTATCTTGTCCAGCATCGTTTCGAAATTTGGAAGGTATTACCGTTGGAAAATCACTTGATTTCTGAACTACATTACCATTATTAGTTGTTAAATTATTGTTGTAATGTCCATGAACTTTGAACTAATATCCTGGAAATTTCCTACAAACCTTACTGATTCCAATCCAAGGCTTTGTTCCGATACTGAATTGGTGAGAGTAGTAGCTGACCCATAATTTTTCCTTTCATTTTCATCAATTTTTTCATCTCTGAGAGAAGCAGATGATTGAACGGTCGATTCTGGTGTACGAGGCTTTGGAAAGAATTGTTTTTGAACACGCTGTAACTTCATCATGTTTTGTTTTTGAATAAACAAAGCAACTACAATTTGTCTTATCAGCTTAAATTAATCTTCCTTACTTATTATCATCATCATTGTATATCACCACCAATTAATTTATGATAAAGAATTAAAATTTGAATGAATATTGAATAATATAAATTCTGTCTGTTCGATATGTAATAGTGATAAGTAAGTACCTGCATATTATAACTAAATAGCTCAGAAAAAAACAACAACTTTACCGTTGATTAATAAATCGTAGTCAAAAATGAGGGAGAAAATTTTGATTGCTAAAATCGTACTATTAAATCTATTGTGATCGAGTCAGTTTAACTTAGTAAGAAATAATTTAAGAAGCTGTTCAATCAATATTGATAAGTAAAATAGGATAAAATCGAAAGTATGACTGGAATTTTCATTGGAATGCTTTATTATATCAGTAGAATATTTATGGAGAAAATAGAGAAAACGTATTAATAAAAGCGAAATAGTTAAATCACATTTTTATATTTAAATTTGTTATCCATTTGGTTATTAAAGTATTAATTGCTAAGCTTAATTACTAAGCTAAATTGACTCAGTTACAATAGATTTAACAAACAATCAAAATTTTCTTCCTCATTTTTGACTACGATTATACTGCTGCTATTTGGATACTTCTAATTTGCAATGTTCATATTATTATCGGTAATTTCTTACCGGTAAAAAAAAAAATGCAATACAAATGAAAAAATGAAATTGATAGCCTTTGATTAAAAAAAAAAAATATTTAAAATAAATAACCTAAATAATAGAAAATGTACAATTGTATGCAAATGATATGCTAAATTAATTGCCCAAAAATTGATTATTACCAATGATCCCTATGCATTGCTACAATATAATGCAATTACATTTAATGATTGATTAAGACGAAACGATTATTCTCTTAATTTTATAGTCTAATGAAGCAAAAATATTCATTATAATTACTTGAAATTAAATTCATTTCAAAAATTGGAGTAATGACAGAGAAAGGGAGAGAGAAAGAGGAAGAGAAAAAAAAAGAGAATGAGCTATTTTTAACCTGATAATTAAGAATATTTCGAGTGAACATTATAGTAGCAATGATGCCCATTAATGTAAGCGTTACAACGTATATGATTCGAATTACTTTATGAAAGGTTGACACTTCTTCAAGATTATTTTCTATAGCAAGAGAAATTGTCTCCTAAAATTTGCATCAACAATATTAATTATTTAATATATGTACTTTATTCTTAAGATTAAATTTGATAAATATAATAAGCTTAGAAATGAGTTGAAATTTTCAGGTACTAGAGACTTTTTTCTTTTTTTCCCAAATAATCCAATAAATATTAAAGTAATATGCAAAATATAAAATGTGTACCTTAACAGTAGTCAAAATATGATTATTCTTTAACTGTGCAGTTAATACTGTATTAAAACTAAAGAATAGAGCATAAATTTGCCGAGACATAACGACCGTCTCATACAATCTGAATAAAATGCTAAGGAAAACTAATAAATTTATACAAATTTTTTTTTTTTTGGAATGTTTTCTTTTTTTAATGAAATGAATATATTTAAAAATTACGTCAATTTTTACCAATTTAATTTTGGCTTTAATTAATTATATTATTATCCGCTTATGAAACTTTGTGAATTTGATTATTTAAATAAATCAATTCCATTATGATTAATTTATTGCTCTTCTGTATGTTTTGTGATTTCATAATATGTTGATTTGTTTATATCCTTTTTTGCATTAAAAGAA